TGTATCTTCAGGAGTCGGCTCTCTCAAGTACTCAGGGTCAAACACAGCAATAACAGCCTTGTAGAACTTATATAGGGACTCTAGGCATGTAGACTCGCTCATACAGACGTACTCATCAATGAGATCACCGGGCACTCCGTATGCAAGTATTCGGATGGCGGCGGTGCATTTCTGATAAGAGGAGAAACCAATCTTTCCAACAGCATCCTCTTTGCACTCGAAGTAGTCATCGTAGCTGACCACCCCCTCTCTAGTACGGTTGGAAAGATGCCTACTCATACGGAAACGGCGGCGGAATTTCTGATATTTGAATAACAGATTTGTTGTATGAAAGTAGTCCTTGCAAAGAAGGAAATGCGCGCTCTCCCGGTTGCGATTCAACGCCGGAAGGTGGCCCGGAATGGAGCCACAGAACGTCGGGCGCTGGCTATTGAGGTGATGATGGGCCAACACGGCAGCCAATATCTCCTCCTCGTCATCGGACGACAAATCGTCGGAGTCGCAAAGGAAATTGTGAAAAAAGAACTCGTCGGCGGAGTCCATTTTGTACCTTGGCAAACTGTCGAACACCTTGCGGGCGTCGATGAAGAAGACGGCCGGCGAAGGGAGTCATGGCACGCACGGACCAGCTAGCTGCCCTGCCGGCGTCCGACGAGCGTGCCGGTGAGGATCTGGTCGGGAACGGCGAGGCGACTTCTTGGTCGCGGTCGCGGCTGTGTCGAGGGGGAGCGGGGGTGGGAAAGCAGTCGGTTCCCCGGTGGCAAGACGACGGTGGCGGGTGACGTGGGAGGTGGCGGTGTTGCTCAGCGGATGTTGCGGGCGCCGGCAGCTGGCAGAGTCACAGAAAAAATGGGCGGCGGCGGCAGCGACGACGAAGGAGGCGGGCGTGGTTGCTGTTGGATGGGGGAGGCTAATGTGCCACCGACCAGTGCGCCCGGGAGGAGGAGATGGCAAGCGAGCGCGCGTCCGTCTCGTGTCCGCGCTGACGCAAATCCGGCTCAAAAATGGGTCGGGAATGGGTCGCCCGTGAACGAAATGCGGACACGCGTCCGTTTGGGTCGGCACGTTGGACCGATTTTTATATCCGTGCCGACGAGTTGCTTTAATTGGCTTCTTCCAACAAATTTATTTGATTTGATATACGTATACTCCTAGATACTCTAGCTGTTGCCCAGCGTCGGCGACGGACGGCAGGCGTGCTCGGGGCAGGGAGGGCATCGAGGCGTTGACGCTTGGCAGGAACTCCGGCCGGCTGGCCGGCGCGCACATCAAAGTAGGTAACCTCCTACGTTGAAAATCATCACTACTAGTACTCCTCCTAGTCGGCATAATGTAGTAGTAGTAGTAGTACAGTCCTTAGTCGTAATCGTAGATTCTACTGCAAGCCAAGCCACTAGGAGTAGTACGTGCAAAGCGTCCCTATAAGCACGACTCAAAGCGATTGTGTTTAGTAGTACTAGTGCTTTATGTACTCCCTCCATCTCAACAGTGTCAAAAAACAGTCTTACATTTTGTTTTGCGATCAAGGAAGTACATCTCATCCGGCATCTTCTCGTGTCGATTCTAAGGCCTTATACAATGATAAGTGCCTATGCACAGATGCTTGAAGAAAAAGAGTAGCTTTGCGCCTCATCTTGCAATGCAGAGGTGCCATGCAAAGGTGCTTCGTTTCTGAGATGGAGGCGTTGGGGTCTTTTTTCTGAATGTTTTTTTTTTGTGGATGGAGGCCTGAAGGGAGCAGTTATTCCTTTCAAGCACCGGCTGGCACCGAAGCAAACATTTGCTTCTACCTCCCTTCTTAAGCACCGGTGCAATCCCATGTGAGTAAAAAAACCGGGTTTTTTCCTATGGCATCTGGCTAAGCACCCACCGTTGTATAGGCCCTAAGAGGTGGTTTCCACCCTGGGTGGAATTTCAGACATTATGTACATGGCAAAATTGTCAGCTGCCTTCTCGGGCAAAATATCGCAGCCATCACGCCGATACACTTAGATAAAAAAATCAAACTTGTTTTTGAACTATTATAACTTCTTTTCTATTTTCAACCACAGTCCCCCTCCCCGCGCGTGCGGAACCATAGTGAAACTCAACTGCTTCGGTTATGGCCATGCTATTTTCGGAAAACCGAAATTCGAAATCACGATTCTACAAAAGGCACTTGTGGGGAATTTCAGTAGATTTTGTCCTGAGACCCTGCACACCTAGAAAACACAAAATGTTTCATCGATTTCGCTCGCTTGATTCCGGCTCTGAGTTGGCTCCAAATTATTCGACGGAATGAGTGATGGACCAGGTGGCTGTGGTGCTGCCAACATCTTCATATCATAGAGAAACACTCCCTCTGTTTCTTTTTAGTATGCATATAAGAATTGGTCAAAGTCAAACTTTGTTAACTTTGACTATGTTTATAGAAAAAAATATCAAGATTCACAATATGAAATCAATATTGTTAGATGCATCATTAAATTAATTTTCATACCATATAGCTTTAGTATTGTAGGTGTTGATATTTTTGTCTACAAAGTTGGTCAAACTTTACAAAGTTTGACTTTGACCATATCTTATATGCAGACTAAGAAGAAACGAGGGAGTACGAGCAATTGTTAACTGGTCGATGTTGCGTCTGACCATATGGAGTACTTCACGTGACAACGTTTGCCATCAATTGATTGTGAGGCCTTCAAAATCAAGTGACTCAATTCTAAATTAAAGACATCAATTGATTGTGAGACCTTCAAAACTAGGGAGCATAGTGTATCTACTAGAAGAGTTGGGCGTGCTTTGTTGCGCCACTGGTGTTGTTGGGTATTCATATTTTTTCTACTCTCTCTGTTTCAAAATATAAGTGTACTCTTTGAATAGTCAAACCTCTGTAAGTTTAACCAAAATTGTAGAGAAATATATGAATATCCATAATATCAAATTGGTGTCATTAAATTCATCATAAAATGAATTTTCATATTCTATTTATTTAGTATTGTGGATGTGGATGTTTTGGCTGCCGATCGTTTTGAAAAATCATTGACCCAGTTAAAATGTGAACCAAATCCTAAATTGAGTACCTCAATCGATTGAGAGACCTCCAAAATTAGGAAGTATAGTGGATTAAAATAATTAAATGAGAGAGAGCTCCTTGGTAAAAAAATTTGTTGAGGCAGTTAAAATTGGGTGGCCCAATTTTAAATTGAAGACCTCAATTGACTGTGAGAGCTCTAAAATTTGAGAGCATACTGTATTTATAGACAGATGTCGTCGAATTTGTAATTGCCACCAAAGCCCAACTTCCAATTTATATACACTTGATATGAGGAAAAAAATAGTAGTTATTGAAAAAGCCAAAAAATCCAAAAAAATCTTAAAATAAATTTAACCTTATTTTATACTCATTAGTCACTTTGCTTGCAAGGCTTCTTATGATGTGTATTACCGAGAGGGTCCGGAGATACCTCTCTGATACTCGGAGTGACAAATCATAATCTCGATTCATGCCAACCCAACAAACACCTTCGGAGATACCTGTAAAGCATCTTTATAATCACTCAATTACGTTGTGACGTTTGATAGCACATAAGGTATTCCTCCGGTATCCGGGAGTTGCATAATCTCATAGTCGAAGGAATATGTATTTGACATGAATAAAGCAGTAGCAATAAAACTGAACAATCATAATGCTAAGTGAACGAATGGATCTTGTCCATCACATCATTCTCCTAATGATGTGATCCGTTCATCAAATGACAACACATGTCTATGATTAGGAAACTTAACCATCTTTGATTAACGAGCTAGTCAAGTAGAGGCATACTAGGGACACGGTGTTTTGTCTATGTATGTATCCATACATGTATCAAGTTCCCGGTTAATACAATTCTAGCATGAATAATAAAAATTTATCATGAATAAGAAAATATAAAATAACAACTTTATTATTGCCTCTAGGGCATATTTCCTTCATATAGGGTGTATATACATTCAAGAGTCAAACGTGTTTGTCCCTAATGCATCTACATATACTGAAATATGACTCGGATAAGGTCACACTTGCACCATTAAAAATAAAGTTAACTCTGCTACCCATATTTGTCTATTTAAGTTAGGATTTGCTAGGCTTCGTCCTCTACCTCCCCACCTCATGTTAGGG